GAGGGAAGAGAAGGACAAGATGAAATGCAACCAGTGGAATTCCATTAACTCTATAGTGGTCTGGGGATCAGTCCCAAAGGAGAAAAAAGGGATGATGCTATACTCTAGATTTTCATATTAAGAAACAATATTTGATCCTAGATATCTGGATTAGGAAATTATGCTAATGGGTATCAATCTCATGTACTGAAATAAGAATCCAAAAAGAGCACATATCATTGGAAAAACGGTACATTCACCCTGGTGCACATTGAGTTTGAAGCATCTGTGAAACATCCATGAGAATATTTCCAATGTTTGCTTAGTAGTTTGATAATATTTTTCAGAGACAAGGAAGAGACATCTAGACTAAATACATATGTAAGAGATATTAGCTTTTAGGAACTTTTGAAGCCATAGAATTGAACAAGGTCACCGACAGTAGTTGTTCTCAAATGTATACCCGTGACTGAGGAACAGTAGCCCAAACAAGGCCTTGGACAAAACTTTAAGGAAAGGAAAGGAGTGGGTAGAGGAGTTCTCATTGGAAACTGATAAGGAATGACTACGAAGGTGCGAGTAAAAATCAGAGGATGTGGTGAGATATATATACATACATAATTAAGAGTATATTTTAAAGAGGAAGGATTTAGTCAACTGTGTTAAACATCTGTTTCAAAGAATCAAGTAAAATTAAGACCTCAGAGATATTCATTGGATTTAACAATAAACTTGTTATGGAAGCAAAATAAAGGCTTATCTTTGCTCCATGATGCCTGAGGTTTCAGCTAGATAACTCAGAGGCTAGACTAGAGGCCAAAATCATCTGTAGACTTGTTTACTTCATTCATGTGAGAGGTAGTTGATGCTGAATGGGCCGGTGAGCTTAGTTTTTCTTCATGTGAGTCTCTCTAATTATTCTTGGTCCATAGGAGTTTAACCTTTCTCATACAAAGTGGTCAGTTTCCCCCTAGAGAGCACCTCAAAAAGAGAAGAATTTTGTATTCCAGATCAGGGGTCATAAACTGGTGGAATGGTGTAGGTTTCTCTTGCAGGGAACACCCTGGATGTGCCTACCTCAATAAGAATGGAAATGGTTAAAAATTGTGTTGTTCTTAGATAGAACAACTTTTATACATTTTATTTTAGTGTTCACTAAATTAATAAAACAAAAAATGATTGGACACAGTTGTGGATTGTTAAGCCCATGGGGAAAAAATGCTAACAAATGATTTTAAATCATTGGCAAAATAATGATTGAAATAGTAGATCCTGGGGTACATGTAACAATTAAAAAATAAAAGGACAAATACTGAGAATACAGTAGAGGGTAAGAGCAGGAAGTAATAGAGCAAGCATAGGAGGAAATAATAGAGGTCTCAAGGAGGTTAAACAACAGTGGAAACTTCAGTGTAAGTGAATTAGAAGTCTGTATTCATAAAGTAATCAGCATAAGCCTAATTATTTTGAAATGTTAACAGTGGAGGACATGTTATAGGTGGATAGATGTGAATTCCTGAAGCTAAGAATTGGTAAAGAACCTCAAACCCAAGAAACTGAGATTAAATGAACGATGGTGGTTGGCCTAGGCTGGAGAGGAGGAAAAGATTCTCCATAAATGAAGAAAGGTAACAATGTTGATAGATATGAGCATTGACCAGAAATAGAAGGCGGCATCATTTGTTTTCACTGTACTGCTTATTTTGTTCAATTTCGCTGTACATGGTCTCAACAACCATTAATATGCTGGAAAGTCCCAAATATCTATCATCTATCCTTAAATTCCCAATGTGTATACCCAGCTGCCCACTAGATCACTCTCTGAACATACCAAAGGTACTACAAATCTCAACATGCCAAAAATTGAATTTATTTTATACTCTGAATCTGCTTAACCTCTTTTTCTCTATTTCAGCTGACATATTACCAACTACCCAGACTCACATTAGAAACTTTGAAAATATTTTTTATTTCTTCATCTTTCTCATCCTTTATCTCACCACAATCAAGTTCTGTCAAATTTTCCTTCAAAATATTTCTAAAAGTGGAAATCTCTTCTTATTTAGAGAGAATAGCCTAGATCGTTACCTAGGTTGGGTCTACTTCATTTCTTACCCTAGATCTAAGAGTCTCATAGCAGGCACTTTTCCTTCCCATGTTACTCCTTAAAAATATATAATCCACATATTTTCATATACACCCACTCATCCATGTCATGGAAAGTTGATATGTAATTACCATTCTCCAAATATTTCCTTGACTCTCTAAAAACCAAAATTTAGAAGTTTGGATTCATCGGAGTATGAACAATATTTCACCATCTGCTTCATGTCCAATGCCCTCAGTTTTCACGCCTGACATTTAACTGTCCAGTTATTCCAAATGACTCTTTTGTCCCTGAACATGAGACAAAACTCTTTATTGCCTCTCCATCTTTGCTTCTCTTCTTTTCAATCCTGAAATGCCTTTACTACCAGCTTGGTCGATCCCTGCTTCTACTCTCTGCCTTCACGTGGCACCCTCCTATTCATGCTTCCATCTACCTTCTTTCAAGACATCTTCACTGGGATTGGGAATCATCTTTTATACCCCTCAACACATGTATCATAAGTACTTATCTACTAATTGCCTTTTTAGTCATATGTGTCCCCCTCAGTCCTTTGAATGCCAGCCTGTATACTATTGATCTTTATAGTCTCTTTGCCTACAGTTCAGTGTCTTGTGCATATTAGGTGTTTAAAACATGCATACTGATCAAATAAATGAATGAATTAAGGCTAAA